TAATAACGTAGTTACTGTAACGCGTTACTTAATAACGCGTTAGTCCCAACACTGCTGGTGAGAGACTTAACAGAAGACAAACAATGATTTACACCGGCTCATTTCTGGAGTTACCCTCTAGTGGACACCAGAGAAACTGCAGTCTGTGGCAGTCTGTCATTTATATTGTTGTGGAAGTTTTAAATAAACGGCAAACCCTCAATGAACCTTTTTTTGAAGTGGTTTAATTCCATTCAGAGAAAGCATGGAGAGAAAGCAGCTGAGTCAGATGCACATGCCACTTTCTGTGAAGATGGCCGCTGTTTGCTCATGTCTTATATACGAGCTGACAAAACACAGAGACACGACAATATTTTACAGCAAATCACGTGGGTCTATACCTTCAGCTCATCCTTGAAACCTTCCCTACGTAGTGTTGTCACACTTTGTTAGTAAGGTGCAGTACCAGCAACGGGCAATATTTTATTTCAAGCCAACATGAAAACAAATGTTTAAAGAGACACTACGAACACATTTACATCTAGGTTAATCGTTTCTGTAGCTTGCGCCTCGCAGTGAATCCTTTACATTTATCTTCATGTAGTCTTCTCTTTATTGTCCACTTGGATATCAATACACCTCCTGGAGAGTGTTGTTCACTTGGTTCGCCCTTGAAAAGAGGTTTCTCTGCACCATGGAAATTATTCTGCGATTAAACCTACTGTGAGGACTTTTTCTCTTATTAAGTTCACCAGTGCTTACCTCCTCAGGATGTACCTAACTATAGATTTTGCCACTCCTGATACTGTAGCATTTTTCGGATGGATTTTCTTTCTGTTTCACAGCTTAAGGATGACTTATTTCACCTGCATGGAGAGCTCCGCATATTTTCAGTTCACAGCCAAATCGTCCAAATGCAAGGACTACACCTCAAATCAACTCCAGGCCTTTCATCAGCTTAAAAGAAAATGACGTAATGAAGGAACTGTTCACACCTGCCCATGAAATAGCCTTTGAGTAAGCAGGTCGATTACTTTTGATCCCATTAAAAAGAGGGTGGCACATGTTAAGGAGCTGAAACTGCTAAACCCTTCATCCAGTTTGAATGGGGATATCATATTCAAATGAAAGCTGAGAATCTACACATTATGTCTATGTCTATTATATAACTATGACTGGAATATGTTTAAGTGAACAGGTTAAAAAACAAAAAAAACAACTTGTGTCCGTGTCAAAACATATATCCACCTAAGTGTATATCGTCAGGGTTTCATAATAAGGGGGAAATCTGTGTAAAAATCATTGTTTGAAATAAAAGTCCAGAATGTATTCTGCTATAAAGTTCTGGTTTACATTTGTATCTCTGTTTGATGTACTCACAGTCTCATACTTGCAAATCTTAGCTTCAGTTTAAAACAGGTTAATTCACTGATAAGTGCAAGCACCTTCATCATATACAATGAACCCATTAGCAGTGCATTTTTTT